CTTCTCTCCTTCTCTCCTTTGGTCCCACTGTTTCTCTACCCTTGCTGTTACGATTTGGTACTCCACAACCCAAGGTGAATCAATTTCGGAATCTAATCCGCGAGCTCTGCTTGGTTCATGCATGCTCTATTTCGGTCGCTTACGTCTATTGTTGTTGGGTGTCACTACTGGGCAGCAATTGATTGTTTTAGCAATGGAGGAAGAGGATTTACATTCCATGCTTAGCCGAGTCCACATATCAGAAGATCAGGATGGTATCCTCCCACTTCATACAGTATGGAATCAGGAAGATGCAAACGTGGGAAAGTTGCGATTGGTAGGTAAGCTTTTGTCACGAAGAAGAATCAATCTCAATGGTTTCTACAATACTCTAATGGTCTCATGGAATCTCAAAAAGGCTTTCAAAATCTTTGAGATTGGTGAAAAAATTTATCTGTTTCAATTCTCAGAAATTAAAGATCTCAATAAAACCTTTCACAGAAGTCCTTGAAATTTTAGCAACTCACTGCTTATTTTAAAGAAATTTCAAACCTCATTAACTGTAGAGCAATATAATTTTTTTACTAATCCATTTTGGGTTAGAATTTTTTATGTTCCTATTGGTATGCAATCTGAGCAAACTGGACTTATGATTGGGAGCTCTTTGGATGAGGTCATGGAGGTGGATGAAGGTTTCAGTAGGGCTATTAGAATTAGAATCGACTTGGAGGTGGATAAACCTTTACAAAGATTTAAAACCTCCCAGGTTACTCCTACAGAATGCAAGAAACTCAGGATCAAATATGAGAGACTTTCGGAGTTTTGCTTTGTCTGTGGATGTTTGGGTCACTTGGAGAATGATTGTAAGATTGCAAATTGCATTAAAGATGCCGGTGGTAAGATTGTACGACACTTTGGTCCTTGGCTAAAAGCTGAATTAGAAAACTCGTGGTGCCTGGGAGACTTTGATACTGTGGACAAAATTTTCTCCGCAGATACTCAGTTACTAGCACAAGATAAGAATGGAGGAGACAGAGAGCAATCCAAGTCTGGAGATCATCAATCGACTAATTCATTGCCCAACAATGCTAGCCAAATTGAGAGGGGCAACATTGACGGTATAATGACTACTAGAGGAATGCATGAGGCACTGAATCAACATCCAGATGGCTTGCCGAACAGTAATGTTGAACGCTTGGTGGAAGTGCCTTTGGTGCATGAGTTCAACATCAACAAGTTAAGGGGGCAAGATAAAGCTGTGAAAGGAACCAAAGGTCAATGGAGAAGGACAAGATGTCGTGATGAGCCCATGTTGCACATGGACAAACCCATTCACAGTAAAAGAAAGCATGGCACTGAGTTTCTAGAGGAAAAGAGAGCTTGTAAAGTGATGGTGGACAATACAAGGATGGCTTTGGCTCCATTAGCCAAAGGCCATGACCCTCCGGTAGGTTGAAAATGCTTCTTACTTAGGGACGACATATAGCAAGTT